GGGTCTGTGTTATTTTGGGGGTGCCCCCCCGAGTTTGTTTCTAAAATGATTTTCTAAACAATAAAGGTTTTGCTGTGCTGCAGCTGGACTCGTCCTGGGATTTGAGGGGGGCACAGGAAAAGGTTTGGGGGGCCTGGGGACAGAATTTGGGGGTTTCGGGCGGAATTTGGGGGTTGGGAGCAGAATTTGGGGGGCTCGGAGAAGATTGAGGGGCTCCCAGGGCGGCCGGAGTCCTCCAGAGCAGACGAGTTTGGCCTCCAGGCCGCCCAGAGCGGAGCCCACCAGAACAGAAGAGTTTAACCTCCGAGCTGCTAGAGCAGAGTCCTCCAGAGCAGACAAGTCGCATTTCCAGAGCAGCGAGCGCGGCCAGAGCGGCCCCGCGGGGCGGGCACTTCCGGGCGGCGGCGGCGGCGGCGGGAGGATTCGATCATGGCCGCGGCCGCCGCCGCCTCCTCCGGGCGCCGCCGCCGCCCCCGCGGCCACCCCAACCCGCTGTTCGCCCGCTGGCTCCGGGAGTGGCGGGACGAGGCGCAGGGGACGTGGGCGAGGGGCACCTACGAGAGGGTGGGTGTGGGGGGGTCCCCGGGTGGGCGATTTTGGGGTCCCCGGGTAAATTTAGGGTCCCCCGGTGGGCGATTTTGGGGTGCCCAGGTGTGATTTTGGGGTCCCCGGGTGAATTTAGGGTCCCCATGTGGGCGGTTTTGGGGTGCCCAGGTGTGTTTTGGGGTCCCCGGGTAAATTTAGGGTCCCCCGGTGGGCGATTTTGGGGTGCCCAGGTGAATTTTGGGGTGCTCATTTGTGATTTCGGGGTCCCCGGGATTCTGGGTTTCCCAGGTGTATTTTGGCCTCCCCCAGGAGTGTCTCAGGTGTGCTTTAGGTACCCCCAGATGTGTCTCAGGTTCCCCAGGTGTGTCCCAGGTAGGTTTGGGTACTCCAGGTGTATCTCAGGTGTGTCCCAGGTGTGTTTTAGGCTCCCCAGGTGTATCTCAGGTGTGTTTCAGGTACATCCATGTGTGCCTCAGGTGTTCCCCAGGTGTATTTTGGGTTCCCCAGGTGTGTCTCAGGTGTGTTTGGGTACTCCAGGTGTATCCCAGGTGTATTCCATGTGTGTCCCAGGTGTGCTTTGGGCTCCCCAGGTGTATCTCAGGTGTGTTTCAGGTGTGGTTTAGGTATCCCAGGTGTGTCCCAGGTGTGTTTTGGGTTCCCCTGTGTATCTCAGGTGTGTTTCAGGTACATCCATGTGTGCCTCAGGTGTTCCCCAGGTGTATTTTGGGTTCCCCAGGTGTGTCTCAGGTGTGTTTGGGTACTCCAGGTGTATCCCAGGTGTATTCCATGTGTGTCCCAGGTGTGTTTTGGGCTCCCCAGGTGTATCTCAGATGTGTTTCAGGTGTGGTTTAGGTATCCCAGGTGTGTCCCAGGTGTATTTTGGGTTCCCCAGGTGTATTTAAGGTTCCCCAGGTGTGTCCCAGGTGTATTTTGGGTTCCCCAGGTGTATTTTGGGTTCCCCAGGTGTTCCCCAGGTGTGTCCCAGGTGTGTTTTGGGCTCCCCAGGTGTATCTCAGATGTGTTTCAGGTGTGGTTTAGGTATCCCAGGTGTGTCCCAGGTGTGTTTTGGGTTCCCCTGTGTATCTCAGGTGTGTTTCAGGTACATCCAGGTGTGTCCCAGGTGTTCCCCAGGTGTATTTTGGGTTCCTCAAGTGTGTCTCAGGTGTGTTTGGGTTCCCCAGGTGTACCCCCTCAGGCGTACGTGGTGCTGGGGCAGTTCCTGGTGCTGCGCAAGGACGAGGAGCTGTTCCGGGAGTGGCTCAAGGAGACGTGCGGGGCCAACGCCAAACAGAGCCGCGACTGCTCGGGCTGCCTGCGCGAGTGGTGCGACGCCTTCCTCTGAGCCCCCTCCCCAAAAACGGCACCCAGGTGAATTTTGGGGTGCTCATTTGTGATTTCGGGGTCCCCGGGCGGGCGATTTTGGGGTGCCCGGGTAAGTTTAGGGTCCCCAGGTGGGCATTTTGGGGTGCCGAGGTGAGTTTTGGGGTGCCCAGGTGAGTTTTGGGCTCCGCGGGTGAATTTAGGGTACCCAGGTGGGAGATTTTGGGGTGCCCAGGTGGATTTTGGGATCCCCAGGTGGATTTGGAGGTCTCTGAGTGGGGGTTTAGGGCTCCCCAGGTGAGTTTTGGGCTCCCCAGGTGAGTTTTGCGGTCTCTGGGCGGGTCTGGGGTCCCTGGGTGGGTGATTTTGGTGTCTCCAGGTGTGTTTTGGGGTCCCCAGGTGGACGATTTGGGGTCCCCGCTCAGGTGTCCCCCTTCAGGTTGGTTCTGGACTCCCTCAAGAGAATTTTGGGTTCCTCCAGGTGGGTTTGGGCATCCCTGGGTGCTGATTTTGACCCCCCCGAAAGTGGATTTGGCTCCCCCAGGTGTGTTCCAGGTTCCCCAGGTGTGTCCCAGGTGTGTCCCAGGTGTGTCTCGGGTTCCCCAGGTGTGTCCCAGGTGTGTCCCAGGTGTGTTTCGGGTTCCCCAGGTGTGTCCCAGGTGTGTCCCAGGTGTGTCTCGGGTTCCCCAGGTGTGTCCCAGGTGTGTCCCAGGTTCCCCAGGTGTGTCTCAGGTGTGTCCCAGGTGTGTCTCAGGTTCCCCAGGTGTGTCTCAGGTGTGTCCCAGGTGTGTTCCAGGTTCCCCAGGTGTGTCTCAGGTGTGTCCCAGGTGTGTTTTGGCACCCCCAGGTGTGTCCCAGGTGTGTCCCAGGTTCCCCAGGTGTGTCTCAGGTGTGTCCCAGGTGTGTCTCAGGTTCCCCAGGTGTGTCTCAGGTGTGTCCCAGGTGTGTTCCAGGTTCCCCAGGTGTGTCTCAGGTGTGTCCCAGGTGTGTTTTGGCACCCCCAGGTGTGTCCCAGGTGTGTCCCAGGTTCCCCAGGTGTATCTCAGGTGTATTCTGGGTTCCCCAGGTGTATTTTGGCCTCCCCCAGGAGTGTCTCAGGTGTGCTTTAGGTACCCCCAGATGTGTCTCAGGTTCCCCAGGTGTGTCCCAGGTAGGTTTGGGTACTCCAGGTGTATCTCAGGTGTGTCCCAGGTGTGTTTTAGGCTCCCCAGGTGTATCTCAGGTGTGTTTCAGGTACATCCATGTGTGCCTCAGGTGTTCCCCAGGTGTATTTTGGGTTCCCCAGGTGTGTCTCAGGTGTGTTTGGGTACTCCAGGTGTATCCCAGGTGTATTCCATGTGTGTCCCAGGTGTGTTTTGGGCTCCCCAGGTGTATCTCAGATGTGTTTCAGGTGTGGTTTAGGTATCCCAGGTGTGTCCCAGGTGTGTTTTGGGTTCCCCTGTGTATCTCAGGTGTGTTTCAGGTACATCCAGGTGTGTCCCAGGTGTTCCCCAGGTGTATTTTGGGTTCCCCCAGGTGTATTTTGGGCTCCCCAGGTGTATCCCAGGTGTGTTTCCCCCCAGGCCCTGCGCTCGCTCTCCCGGTTCCCGCTCCCGCTCCGTTCCGGCCGCGCCGCCGCCATCTTGCAGCACTTTGGCCCCGCCCTCTGCGCCCGCCTCGACCAACGGCTGAGCCAGCACCGCCGGGGTGGGCGGGGCCGAAAGGGGCGGGGCCTGGAGTGGGTGGGGTCTGCGGATGGGTGGGGCTATGGAAGGTGGGGATAGCAGGCGTGGCTTGGGTGAGCCCCGCCCCCTTTCACACCCATCAGTGCGAAGTGGGTGTGGCATAGAGGAGGGGGCGTGGCCTCAAAGGGTGGGGCATTTGTGGGCGGGTATTTGGTGGGAGGTGCTACTGAAGGGGTGGGCAGGGCTTTGTTGTGGGTGTGGCCTGCTGGAGCTGTTTTGCATACTGATTTGCATGTCATTTGCATACCGCAGAGCAGGGCCTCCCTGCCACGCCCCCTCGGCAGGAGCGGTGCCCAGACCCTCCCCCAGCCCCGCCCAGGGTGAGTCCCATCCTCGCCCCTCCCCCACCCACGACCCCCCCACTGGTCCCCATTTGGGGGGAGGGGCAGAGGAAGCCCCGCCCCCAATCTCTGCCCCTCCCCCTTCATCCAGCGCCGCCCCCGCCAGTCCCGGCCCCTCCCCCGCTCCAGGAGCCACGCCCTCCTGCTGGTGCTGAGCCAGGTGATGGGGAGGGGACACACCTGGGGGGTGGGGGAGGGGTCCAGGTCCCTGCCCCTCCCCCTCCTCACACAGAGCCCCGCCCCCAGAGCCCGGAGCCCCTCCCAGAGGCGGAGCTTCTCCAGCAGGCCCAGCCCCTCTGTGACCACGCCCTGACCCCGGTGAGTGACAGGAGGGACCCGAGCGCCCCTCCCCCACCCTGGCACCCCCCTGAAGGTGGTGGGGGAGGGGCTGACCTCCGTGTCCCCTCCCCCACAGGCGGCTCTGGGTCCTCTCCTGCGCCGGGGCCTCGTGCAGAGCAGCAGGCGCCCCCCCCGGTAGGAACGGGACCCCCCGGGACCCCCCCGGGACCCCAGACTCACCTGGGAACCCCCCAGACGCCCCATTTCATGGCCCTGGGACCCCCCAGAACCCCCAGACTCACCTTGGACCCCACCTGGGACCACCTTGGGTGGCCCTGGGACGCCCCCGGGACCCCCCAGAACCCCCAGACTCACTGGGTACACCCCCCGGGGATGGCCCTGGGACCCCCCCAGAACTCCTGTACCCCCCCAGGAACCCCTGGGACTCCCAGGACCCCTCAGAACCCCCTCGAGACCCTCAATAACCTCCCAGAACCCCCCGGGAGCTCCCTG